CAACCCACAGCAGCAGCCCTCGCTGCGCACAGGTCCAGGGACACACACACCCCATGCCCTCCCAAGGTGCATGCAGCGGCGGGAACTGCCCCTCCCCATGCCCTGTGGATGAGCTGTGGCTCCGTCTTGTGCCCTGCCCAGCCCCAGATGGGCAACACCTGCCACTGCCCCTGCCCCAGTGCCAGTGCTAGCCCCATTCCCACCTTCACTGCAGGGGCCTCTATCTGCCCCCCCAATGCCCTTTCCCTCCCCACACCCCTTCCCCCACAACAGACTTATCAGCTGGATGCCACTCTCCACACTGCGGGACTGCATATTGGAATCAGATCAGCTGGTATGGCTCGTAAAAAATTGGCCATCGGTATTGGCTCAAAACATCTCTATCACCACTAGTCCTGGATGATTGGAAAAGGGCAAGTATAGCTTTCACCTTTAAAAAAGGGAAGAAGCAGGATTCAGGGAATTACATACTGGGCAGCCTCATTTCAATCCCTAGAAAAATCATGAAGCAGGTCCTCAGGGATTCCATTTCTGAACACTAGTAGGAGAAGAAGGTGATTAGGAACAATCTGCGTGGATTCACCAAGGGCAAGTCATGCCTGACCAACCTGATTGCCTTGTACGATGAGATGACTGACTCTGTGGATGCAGGAAGAGCAGTGGACTTTAGCAAGGGTTTTGATACTGTCTCCCACAATATTCTTGCAAGCAAACCAGTGACTCCTAAGTGTGCTTCCTCTCCTGGTTTCTTTGTTATAATGGAATGGGGATTATGGTGGTGTGTGGAAATCTATGGAGCATATACTTACTAACAGAGCCAGTGAGAGAAATTGCATGCTTCCTTAGTTAAGTAACTTTACCTGTGCATTGATCAAGCCCAGCACCTCCTAATACCACATATCTGCCTCTGCTTCAGCTGGTATTCCTAGCTTAACTTTGGCACATTTTGAAGGGCTCACCTATGGATCCCCTTTGATTTTCTCCACTTTCCACCAGTTCCCTTCCTACATGGAAGGGTGTTGTGTACTTCCGTTTTGTTTTGTTTTCAGGTTGTATTAACCTCCTCATCCCCTTTCTTCCTCACTTCCCCTTTGAATCCTGATTTATCTGAGGGCTTAATATAGTTTGAGTAGTGAGAGAACTTAGATTACATCCCATCCCTTGTCTACCAGGAGAAAAACCCTTTACCAGTAGTCAATTGTAGAAAGATGCCATTATTTTCCCTAGAGTTTGTATTTAAACAGACACCAAATGTGTATATATCAAGATCAAGAAGTACCACATGTCCCTTTGAGCCATCCAGCTGGCATGAAAACTGTCTGCAAATAAAGCTTCTTGACTACTTAGTCTACACATGCTATTTAATCTCATTAGGCTCATGCCTATATTGGAAGCATACCTTTATTTTCTGAATACTGGTTTTAATGTTACCACTCCCAAAGGGCATGGGCAAATGTACACATGGAGCAGTGTGAAAAGGGGAGGGGGAGATGTTGCATTCTAACAGTTTCATGTCCCCTTCCAAAAGTGATACCAGTGTCGCAAAACTGCTCCAACTTTTAACACTGGATGAACCAAGTTTAAAGTTAGGACAGTTTTTGATACATTTGTATCATTCCTGAGTTATGCACAGGGATCCTCATTTGCTTTGTTTAAAAATTGCAAATTCTGTGATAAAAATCTCAAATAATCTGATTAAAAACCTAAAATCTGTGATTTTAAAATGAAATCTATCTATCTAGATAGATATCAGTTGAGCACAATGTTTTATTCATATATTTACAATTTTAAAGCAGTTTGGAAGCCTACCAGTGCCTCAATCACAATAATAAAATAAATTCTAAGTACCTATAAATTTTGGTACTTGATTTTGAGTCTTTTACCATGGAAAATCAGAGCTCCTTCTGCCCTCTTAGCTCATCAAGATGCTGGTCCAGGCCCCTCACTCCCAAGCCACAGCCCCCTGGGCCCTGCCAGTGCCCATCACTCCCCACCCACAGGACCCCCCCTCCCCCCCAGCCCTACTGGAGAGGGCCCCAAGCTGCCAGGGCTACAGGACTGGGGACTTGGGTCCACAGCCCCCTGCTCCTCACAGCAGTGCCTGAGCCCTGACTGCTCCTCACAGGAGGCGGCAGCTGCGGCAGAGTGGAGCAAAGAGCCCGGCTCTCCCTCCTCTACAGGCAGAGTGGAGCCTGTGGGGTGGGGAATCGGTTTGGGCTGCCTGCTGCAGGCTCTGCCTCCCTGTCCTGCTGCCCTAGCTTAGGCCAGAGGCCAGGATCTGGCGTGGCATGGCAGAGTGGGGCTGGGCAGGGAAGCTCAGTGCACCTGCAGTAAGGCCTGCGTTACCATGGTGGGACACCCCCTGCCCACCCTGCAGCAGCAGGGGGCACAACTCTGTGCCTCCACCTCTTGTGGCTGCCAGATGGGCAGGGGATGACTTGCCAGGGCAGCACAGGGTTTGCAGCAGTGACACCAAGCTTTCCCATCCAGCCCTGCTCTGCCCTGCTGCACCAGGTCCCACCCACTGGGCCTCAGAGGACCCGAGGGGAGGGCAGCAGGGTGGGGAGCCTGAGCCTGCAATGGGTGGCCTGCCCCTGCCCTGCACACAGATCTTAGGGGCATGTGCCCCCCATGCCCCCAACAGTGCGTGTAGTGGTGGGGAGCCAATCCCCCCGTGCCCTTGGGCAAACTGCCTGTGGCTCCTTCCTGCTCCCCACCTGGGCCCTGCAGCTATGCATTCTGGCCCCTGGGCCCCAAGCCCCATGCAGTGCCAGCAGACAGAGGGAGAGAGGGGTGCAGCTGAAGGTGGGACGGGGGAACAAGGCCGGACACAGGCCACTGTCCTTGCCCCCCCCTGTCACTTTTGATGGGCAATTAGCGTGTGTGTGTGTGTGTGTGTGTGTGTGTGTGTGTGTGTAAAAAAACTAGCTGGGTGATCCAGGATGACCTGGACAGGCTCAGCAAATGGACGGATGAGAACCTGATGGTGTTTAACACCAAAAAATGCAAGGTTCTCCACCTTGGGAAGAAAAGCCTGCACCATCCTTATAGGCTCGGCAGTGCTATGCTGGCTAGCACTATGGAAGAAAGAGACTTGGGGGTCATCATTGACCACAAGATGAACATGAGCCTTCAATGCGATGCTGTGGCTACTAAAGCGAGCAAAACGCTGGCTTGCATCCATAGATGCTTCTCAAGCAAATCCCGGGATGCCATTCTCCCCTTGTACTTGGCATTGGTGAGGCTGCAACTGGAGTGCTGTGTCTAGTTTTGGGCTCCACAATTCAAAAAGGATGTGGAGAAGCTTGAGAGAGTCCAGAGAAAAGCCACACGCATGATCAGAGGTCAGGAAAACAGACCTTACGACGACAGGCTGAGAGTCGTGGGGTTCTTCAGCCTGG